CACCGCCAGGCTCGCTCATTCGGACCCCCCGGCCCCCAGGTTGCCTGCAGGAGGGAAGGCGGTAAACACAACTCCAGTGCCCAGCCAGACGCCGCACGATGAGTCTGACCGCCGGACCGAGCCACGCTCCTCCGTCTCGGACCTCGTCAACTCCCTCACCAGCGAGATGCTCATGGTGAGAGGCTGCACGGCCGGGCAGGGGAGGGGCGCGTGTGGAGGTGGGTGGCGGCGTGGGAGCTGTCCACGCAGGCAGGGGACCCAGCGTGGTGACCAGCTCTTTCATCACAGCGGCCTCTCGTGCCTCAGTTTCCCCATCTGTCAAGTGAGAATATGCAGGCCCATCGTCCCCCCGTCTCTCTCTGGACTGAACAGGGGCCTAAGGAAAGCTACTCGTGTGGGAGGTTTTCAGGGCCCTAGAGGGAAGGCGAGTGGACAGAGGACGGGGGCAGAAGGTGCCCTTCCTCTGAGCGGCAGCCCAGTGAGCAGAGCTCCCTCCCAGTGGAGCAGGTCTCAGATCCCCATCCCGGGACCCTCCCAGCCCCACTGCTGCGGGGCCCGCTGAGGTCCAGAGAGCCGGAGCGCAGGCACGGCCCCGGCCCTGATCCCTAGGAGGGGACAGCTGTGCTGGCTCTCCTGTCTGCACCCCCCACCGGGGTCCCAGCCTGTGGTTCTGGGGTGCTGCTTTTTTTCACCAAGGCAGAGGCTGTGGCTTCACCTGGCGCCCCCTGGTGGCAGCATCCGTGGGTCACAGCTATTTGCCCCTCTGCTTTCCAAAGGCAGGAGCCAGTGGGAGCTGTGGCAGCTCAGATGCGCCAGGAAGGCTGGGGGAGGGGGGGGACCCAGGGCCAGCGGGGTTCCTACTGCACATGACCTGGGCCAAGTCACTTCCCCTCCTTGGATGAGGCCCCCCTCCACCTCCCCCATAGCGAGAAGGAAGGGGCTGGGTGGGCTCCCAGGCCCTGGCCAGTGCTGACATCGGGCAACTCAGAGTTCCCTGCCCACGGCCTTGGCACGGAAGCCCCCGCCCTCCCTGAGGGCCCCAGAGCCCCCAGGCCCCACCTTTGCCATTTGGGGTTCTGGACGGTTCTAACCATCCATCCCCACTGCCCTTTTGTAGCCCAGCCCAGGGATCTTGTTAAAATGCAGATTCCCCAGCCGCCCTGGCTTGTGTGGCTCAGTGGATAGAGCATTGGCCTGCTCACCGAAAGGGTCATGGGTTCAATTCCGGTCAAGGGCACATACCTGGGGTGCAGGTTCGATCCCCAGCCCCAGTCGGGGTGCATGCAGGAGACAACCAATTGATGTGTCTCCCTCACATCGATGTTTCTCTCCCCCCCCACCTCCCTCCCTGCCTTCCATGCTCTCTAAAAATGAATGGAAAAAATACCCCTGGGTGAGGATTAACAACAAAAATGCAGGATCCCAGTCAGCAGGCCTGCGGTGGGCCTACGCGTCCACATTTCTCTGGGGTGCAGACTAGAGCGTCCGATCTCCCTGCTCTAGACCTGGTCTCCCTCGGGCCTCCTCACCTCCCCCTCTGCCCCGCCCTCCAGGCCCTTGCGAGCCTGGCTCTCCACTGCCCTCCTGTCCTCCCGACTCACGCGGATGGACAGGCCTTCCTCTGGACAGGCCTTCGCCACAGCCGGCCTGCTCCCTGCACAGGCTCTTAATTGGCTCCAGCTTCCCGGTAGCCGGGTTCCCAGAAGGGACGGCCCTTTCCCAGCCAGCCCACCGGCGGTGCTGCTCCCAGGGAGGGGCGCAAGCCAGGCAGAGGAAGGCAGTGCAGGCCTCTGCCCTCTCGCGGGCCCAGCGGACCCTCTGGGTGGCCGGCAGGCCTACTTGCCCAGCCCCAGGCCACAGGCAGGTCATTAGCGCCAGCTTGAAGATGAAGGTGCGCAGGGCAGAAGTAAGCTGCTGTCTGAGCCCCCGGCCCAGGCTGTCTGAAGCTGGGGGTCAGGAGAAGGCCTGGGCACCCACGGTTTGGCCAGAGGAAGAGTCGGAGAGGAGGCTGGACCACACCCCCATCTGAGTCTCTCCGCCCTGGCACTGCCCACGTGCTGCTTTTAACAATTTATGGATTGGTTGATTTGCAAGAGGAAGAGAGAGAGAGAAACATCGATTTGTGGTTCCACTCATGTATCCATTCATTGGTTGATTCTTTTAAAAAATATTTTCTTTTTATTGATTTCAGAGAGGAAGGGAGAGGGAGAGAGAGATGGAAACACCGATCGGCTGCCTCCTGCACACCCCACACTGGGGATCGAGCCCGAAACCTGGACGCGTGCCCTGACCGGGAATGGAACCGTGACCTCCCGGTTCATAGGTCGATGCTCAGCCACTGAGCTGCGCCGGCTGCAGGGTTGATTCTTATCTGTACCCTGACCAGGGATTGAACCCACAGTTTTGGGGTATCAGGACGATGCTCTAACCAGCTGAACTATTCCGCCAGAGTCCAGATGCTTTCTGATGCTTCTGCTTGAGCAGGGGCTCCGGCAGCACCTCCCTGGGGGCGTGGTGGGGGTGGCCTGCTTGGTTGCCATGGAAACAGCTCCTGGAGCTGTCCCAGCTGGTTAATTAGGGCTCCAGGCTCTGGTTCTGAAAGGCTGGGAGCAAGCACACGGCACTGCTTGCGTCCATGGTGACGCCCACTGGCCCCTCCCTCCAGGCCACCTTGTTTGGGAGCCAAGAGCCAAGTGACCAGAGGGGCTTCAGGTGGGCGGGGGTCATCTGGACTCCAGTCACCGGGACTCCACCCCAACTTTTGGAGGAAGGGGAGGGGGCAAGAGGTCTTTGTAGGCCCCAGAGTAGCACTCCCCAGGGACCTGAACCATTTAACCCTCCCAGGAACCCCGCGAGCTAGGTCTCACGGTCCCATTCTGCAGATGCCAAAACTGAGGTTCAAAGGGAGTGGGCTGGTGTGAGGAGAGGGGGGGAGAACCAGGGGAGAACTGCACCTGGGTAGGGAGCCGCACTTTCGGGGGCCTGGGCTGGGGCTGGCAGGGTTGCCTGGAGAGCCCTCCGCTGTGAGGAAGAGCAGGGAGGCAGTTCCGCCCCATCCAGCTCCAGGCGGGACCAGGGTGTGGCGGGCACCGACCCGGGTTTGAGCTTCCACTCACCACTCAGCGGCTCGATGCCAGTTAGTGATCTGCCGGGTCCCCCTCCGGATGCTGCGGAGAGAATGAGGGCCAGCACCCGGCTCAGGGCCAGGCCAGGCGCGAGGCAGCTACTACTACCTGTGACTGGGATGTATCTTACCTGGGCTGGCCAGTCCTCTCTGGCTTGGGGGCAAGGCTCAGCCTGGCCCTGGGACAGGGGCCTGCTTTGGTGGAAAGAGTGGGCCTCAGAGGCAGAGAGGGTTCGTGCTGCTGTGCAATCTTGGGCGTGTGACTTAACCTCTCTGAGCCGGTCTCCTCAGCTCGAGTGGTGATCACTGCCTCGCCCGCGTTGTCAGGAATCGGTAAGAAGGTGATGTAAGTCTCCTGCCATGGTAGGTGCACCCTCCCCGTATTCTTACCACCGATGTTACTTAGGGTTTCCGAGCTGGGGGCCACCTTTCTAGGAGGGAAGAGGGGCCGCAGAGAAGGCTCCCGTGGGGCAAGTGGGGAGAGAAAACGGGGCTCAGCAGTTTCATCTGGGCCGCCCCTGGCTCATCCCATCACCGAGGAGCTGTTTGTGCGGGAGGCCTGGGCCACCGGAGCCCCCTGGGCTTGGGGAGCGGTCTGGGGGGGACCCAGGAGGCCGGAGTGGGGGTATTCTCAGACCTCCCCAGATATTCCCAATGAGCAGCCACAGCTGAGGAGACTTGGCTGGGAGACCCCCCCCAGTCCCTTCCTATTTCGGTGTCGGCCTGGGAATGGGACCCCGCGCCGCCCTCCGTGCACCTGTCCGTCTGTCCGTTGCTGGGTCGGCCCAAGTGCCCCCCTGAGGGGTGGGGACTGAATCGGCGTAGTCTTCCCTCCCAGTAGCCCTTGCCTGGTGTGCGTACTGGCACCTGAGGCTCCTTTTAAACAACTCTGCTGCCCACCCCCCGGCCCCCCAACCCCGTCACATCGGCTCCCCTAACTCACCTCTCCTTTCGTAAACCCCACCATCCTCAGAACCCCAGTCACTGTCCAAGGAAAGGTCACAGGGGTGCACAGTCCCCTCATCTGCTGGTTGTTGTGTTTCACAAAACACAAGACGCCCCGCAAGGTTGTGGGGGGTGGGAAGCTGGCCGAGGGAGCTCAGGGGCCCAGGGAAGGCCGGGGCAGCCTGGGGTGCAGCAGGGAGAGCAGCGGACATCCAGGCGAGGCTGGGGAGTGGGGCGCGCACTTCCCTGGGGTTCAGGAGACGGGAGCCGAGCGGCTGTGCCCTCCCTCGCTCCCCCTGTGAGCCTGCGCAAGGCTCCCGCCCTGTTTGACATCCTCACCTGGGTGTGGAGGTAGGCGCCCCCCGAGCCCCATGGCGACCAGAGGGACAGAGCAGCTCCCAGCTCTGGCCCGGCTTGGGGCACGAGAGGCCTCCTAACAGGGCCAGGCTGCAGTGGGGGCTCCGGAAAACAGAACCCTCCCAACCCCGCCGGCCTCTCCCCACCAGCTCTCCCCAGGCTCCGAGGAGGACGAGGCCCACGAGGGCTGCAGCCGAGAGAACCTGGGCCGCATCCAGTTCAGCGTCGGCTACAACTTCCAGGAGTCCACGCTCACCGTGAAGATCATGAAGGCCCAGGAGCTGCCGGCCAAGGACTTCAGCGGCACCAGCGACCCCTTCGTCAAGATCTACCTGCTGCCGGACAAGAAGCACAAGCTGGAGACCAAGGTGAAGAGGAAGAACCTGAACCCCCACTGGAACGAGACCTTCCTCTTTGAAGGTGAGGCTGGAGCCGCCCCCGCCCGCCCGATCGCCCCACGCCTGTACACACGTGGCCACGGGCACAAATGCACATGTTCAGATGCGCACACAGGAGCATGCTTGCACGCGCTTGCACACGCCCCCACAGCACGTGTCTTGCCCAGCTAACCTGCTGCATGTGCGACTCGCTGGAATTAGGCTGTAGCGCCGAGTGGGGCCGGCCGAGGAGGATAGCTGGGTGTTCCGCTCAGACACAGAACTCATGCGGAGGAGGGCAGGAAGGAAGGGAGGCGCCCGCAGGGTGCAGAGCTGGAGCGGCTGGAGCGGCTGGAGCTTCCATAGTCTGGTGGTTAAGAGCACAGGTTATGGCCCCGGCTTCCTGGGTTTGAATCCCAGCTCTGCCACTTACTAGCTGTGTGACTTGGGCAAGTTCCTGAGCCTCTCTGTGCCTTGGTTTGCAATCAGGAATCAGCAGGTTGTAAAAGCATTTGGGGCGAATGCCCTTCCTGTCTCCTGCAGGCCCTTCTTTATCTCTTATCCCGAGATTCACAGTAACCAGGAAGCCGGTGTGTGATCAGGGCGTGATTCCTGCCCCAGGCCCTTTGGGTGCCCGGCCGACTTAGAGAAGCCATAGCCCTTTCCCCACAGCCCTGCTCAACCAGTGAGAACAAACCCGGGTTCCCTGGCTCTCAGAACCTCCGGCGTGCACCCCAGGGACTCTGCCACCTGGCGCCCCAGCCATCTGGCACCCCGCCCTTCTGCGAGGCGGCAGCCAGCTCACCCCTAAGCAAGTCATTGATGGGGAGCGCACGGGTGCCCCTGTGTTTCAGCGTGGGGGTCAGTGTAGAGATGGTACAGCCAGCAAGAGGCTCAGCCATCTGGAGGTGTATGGAGCCAGTTAGGGGGGTGACGTTTATGGGCAGAGCCCCAATCTGCCGGTCCCAGCTGCAAATACTTATCGAGTGTTAACTCTGAGCCGGCATTTTCCTGGGTCGGGGCGAGAGGGGGGTGCAGAGCTGAACTGTGGCCCTCGAGGCACCCTGGTCTAATGGAGGACATAGACGTGTAATAACTAAGCCACGCGCTGCTGACAGGAGCTGCAGGAACCCGGTATGAGCGCCCCTTGGTGGTGGTGAAGGGCATTTCCCAGAAGAAGGGCCACTCGAGATGGGTTGTGATGGGTGAATAGGAGTTTGCACATAGCGGCCTGCCTCCTGCGGTGTTGACGGGAGCTAACGCAGGTGCAAGAGCCTTTTGGAGCCTCCAACATTGCCAGATCCCTCGTCATGCGTTTCACCTGAGGAAATGCCCAGGTCACCTGGGCAAGGCCCCGAGGTGCCCCGAAAGGACCAGACAGGTACAGGCCCCTCAGCAGGAGGAGGGGCCGGAAGTTCCGGAACTGAGGGTTTCGTCCTCTGCTGCACCTGCTCCCTCCCGTCAGGGGCTTCTCTGTGCGTCTGGCATCCGGGGCCCTGGAGGCACGGAGAGGCCGGAAGTTCCGGAACGGAGGGTTTCATCCTCTGCTGCACCTGCTCCCTCCCATCACGGGCTTCTCTGTGCGTCTGGCATCCATGGCTGAAGGTGCCGGGACCCTCCAGAGCCCTTCACCTTTTCCATCGAGTCCGGCTAAGCTGTTGTGTCCTCACTCCTTCCAGTTCATACCCTGGATCGGGATCCGATCCCCTCAGGCCTCCAGGCTGGTCTGTGCCCCCTGCACCTCCAGCAAAGCCTCCCAGTGATCCCAGCTTCAGGCCTGCCCCTGGCTTCCCAG